CCCATTTTATTTCATAGCATAAGCATATGATTATTAATAACCACCAAATTGTGATGATGCCGACTGTTTGCGAAAAGATGAGCAGATACTGCCACATAGATGACAACCGTCACAATAATATGAAAAAGCGTATCAATTGTTAAACTGAGAAGGGGGCGGTGGGGTAGCCTAGTGGTTAAAGTGTCCGCTCGTCACACTGAAGACCCGGGTTCGATGCCCCACATGGGCACAATATGTGAAGCACATTTCTGCTGTCCCCCCGCCGTGATATTGCTGGAATATTGCTAAAAGTGGCGTAAAACCCAACTCACTCACTCACTCACTCATGTGAGAAGCTCTGACAAGATCTGTTATAAGAAGTAGGAATTGTATTCGATTCTGTCACTGACAACACACATTTTGAAACGTCCTTTATTTATCTACCATAAAACTTTTTGAAAGCTTGACTGGGCCGTTTTATGTTTTAACCTAAACTAACGTCTAGTCTTTGAAATGAACATATACAGGAAAAACAGTTCACAATAAAAATAATACAATATAATGAAAAGGAGCCCTGAGAATATCTTCATTTTCAGAAACTGCGGAAATCTAGACTTGTCACATATTCTAAACTTGCATGGGCTTTCTCGTATATGTTTGTTTCAGGGTCTGTATGACAGACTAGTTCTAACCCTGACAAAAGGCTCTGAACAAGCTGTTTGATTGTGCTTAATACAATGTGAAACTTCGAAACCAAAGACCGGAATCGCTGGAATATTTCTTGGTATAAAAGTAAAGTTGATGTTATCCCAAAGATTCAAGTTTTGTCACTCTTTACACACAGATCTAAACATAAACAGATTAGAGGATTTCTACAGTTTTTACATTTTTAACGATACCAGGGCATCCATATACCTGAAGCGTAAACTAAACGTTTTAGCCAAATTCTTTTCTTTAGATGTTGTCAGATTTATTTTTATAACAGTTTGTTGTCTCAATGTCTTAGTGTCATTTCCACATAGACGTCATCAATTAATAATTCCATTGTTTAACTAAGCGTTTTGTGAATAAATTTCAGATGACATAGAGTTTTATGTTCATAAATTGTGCTGAACCTTCGAATATACAGATGTAAGTACCTGGTAACAGTGTGTGAGTGAGTTTAGTTTTACGCCACACTAAGCAATATTCCAGCTATATGCCGGCGGTTTGTAAATAATCGAGTCTCAACAGCATGAGCTACCATGTACGCAATGGGGATCCGATGACATGTGTCAACCAAGCCAGCGACCTCTTACGACAAGCATTGGGTACTGAAGATCAATTCTAACTCGGATCTTCACGGGCTTCCTGGTAACAAATGCCTCGAGGATCTATAACTGAATTGCATTAAGGATCATTGACCTTAGCGATCACTATTTTTCAATGTTCGTTTCTATAGAAAACTACTGTCATTTTTATAATTTTGTTTTTATGTTTTTTCATAACCAGCAATGTATATTATATGTCATGAATAAGTGATAATTGTGTTTTAATTATGTTTGATTTTTTGGTTGCATGTGACCTTTAAGCGACGAATAGCTGCCGCATTGCTGATGCGGCCAGAGGCAGCATCTACTGACTCACTCATTGGTGTGAAGAATTATGGTAAAACTCTGAGACAGGAATTTGATGGTACTGGACCCAGTAATATATATCTTTGCGGTGGAGCTTTGGAATTCGGTACAAAAGAGAACAGGACATGTGTCTTGGTGTAAAGTCAATAGGAGATGGTTCTGATGCGTGGTTTGAGGAAGAATTCTTTCTCAGTTTTGTTTGATTATTGTCTAACGCCCCACTCAGCTATATTCTAGTTATATGGCGGCGGTATGTAAATAATCGACCAGACAATCCAGTGATAAACAGCATGAGCATCGAACTAAGCAAATTGAATACGATGACATGTGTCAACCAAGTGAACGAGCCTGACCACCCGATCCCGTTAGACGCCTCTTACGCCAAGCATGGGTTACTGAAGACCAATTCTAACCCGGATCTTCACGGGCACTTTCTCAGTGAACACACTGGGATTATACGCGGTATTATTTGATTTTAGTTTTATAAAATCGTGATGAAATACGTATTTGTTTTGCTTAGATGGGATAACTATCGGCAATAGCATTCTCTACTATATAAACAAGTTACTGGATATTTAGTATTATAAATACTGATCAGTTGTGACGTCATGCCCTCAACGCCATTTGGAACCTGAATCCTGTGTTAATTATCAATATATATCTAAGACTGATACCTGTTCTGTCACGTGGGTTATAAATATTATTGCTACCTGGGTTGCAATTTCCACGGTTCCAGGCAAATATATGAAATACTAGAATCAAAATGTTGTCCATATATTAATTTATCCCTATCCTGTATATTTCATTAATACATGACAAAACACTTTCTGAAGTGTTAGTACAAATGAAACAACAATTAATTTCATGACAACATGGTCCTTGAACGATAAAGATTATTTTGATATTTTGATACCCATATTTGTTGCACCTGAGAGACCGGAATAAATGTACTATGATAGTGTATATTTGTTGAGATTTTTGGCATTTATTAGTATTTTAAGAAATGTAAGTGTTTTTTATCAATCACTAAGCACCGACCACGATGTTAATTTTGTACTATCCACCAACTGTTACAGTCCCTTTAGGGCGATGTAGCTACGTCCCAGTAGTTTATGAAAACAACCCATAATTCCCAGGAACAACAATATTTCAAATGCCAGTGCCATAACCATCGACCGAAAAATAATACCGCAATCGCGTTGAGGAATACGGGGAAATAAACTGACATAGATACACAGAGGAAAAAAGACCGTAATCGATTCTCTGAATTGTTAATGGCTGAGTATGTGGGTGAGTATGGTTTTACGCCGCTTTTATTCCAGCAGTATCACGGCGGGGAACACCAGAAATGGGCTTCACACATAGTACCCTTGTGGGGAATTGAACCCGGGTCTTCAGCGAACGCTTTCACCACTATGCTAACCCATCACCCTATTGGATGCAAGCATGTTGAATAAACGTCACAGACAGGACCAATACTGGTAGATAAATGGTCATAAATGTTGCTTTAATCAACTGTCACGTCTTTTCTTGCATGTGGTGTTTTTTAATAACAAGATGTGAAATAGACAATAACCAATATCTATTGTAAAGAAGTTACTTCAGTTTGTCACACCTCGTCATTTGTCACTGATAGGTGAGGTCACTGTTGAATATTTATCAAAAGCAAAAACATGAAACACAAAAACACCATCTGTTGCTACGTGACTCCAACCATCAAACTAGCTCTACACGTGTAATTTGCCACGTCGCAGTTTAATAAGACTTTGTCAGTTGTCAAGTGTCGAATTAATTTTATTCAGTGGCACATTCTCCCAAGCGAGTTCCTCTTAACCATCTAATAACAATGAACCTCCATTCTGTACCCTGAAGTCTAATTAACCCAGCATGGCTACTGGAATTCTACCAAGACATTAGCATTGGCTCGTAGACTTGAAGCGCTCGTAGACCCAAGGCACCTGTGGTTGTCAGATTGTGCGCGTGCCGTGACGTAGCGGTCTCTTGCTGTGACGTAGCGCGATAGGGCAGCCCCGAGTGATTAACAAGGCACCTGATTGGATAGCTCGCACATGAGTTTCTGCAATTGGCCTGGTGGATGGTTTCGGCGGGTGTGGAAGTTCTACAACTGCATACAAAGAGTGGAATCGGTGCCAAATAACGGTACACTTGTCTTGGGATCGCGCCCAGAGAAGTATTTGATGCTTATAGAGTTTTTTCCTTTGCAAATATGCCCCGTGCCTTCCTGATCAAGAAACATCCTGCTTTTGGCTGTGTTGGAGATTCGGAAACAAACCTGTCTTGTGTACAAGGCTCTTCCTGCCTTATAACATCAGTAAATGGCGATTTTCACTCAGGTATGTACAACCCATGTTTTGTATTTTACAAATATGAAAGAAATATTAATGCTTCGCTTGTTGTGGAAGCTTAAAAATTATCATATACATACATTGTCAATACATATACAAGGTATTGCGTTGAAAGTAAAACTTACATTGTATGCTTGTAAAGCTTAAGTATGTCATGAATTTTCAAAATTCGTTTGTTGCGTGTTAGAGATTTGTCAAAGCTTTCACGATATGTCAATTGGCATTTGTGTGAATGTGTTAATAGATTAGAAATTAAAACAATTTTTATTGTATTACCAAAATATTATTGTGTTTATTTTCTAAAGAATAGACCATATAATCACACAGAAAATAAACCACGCTCCCACGTCATTTAAGATCTGTTTTGTATATTTTCCTAAGTTTCAACACACCATACAGTACATAAGGAATATGTTTTCTATTGTGTTGTTATAATCGTATCTAAGATACATATGTTTTCTCCATATCTCAGGACAGAAATGCAATTTCAGTTCAGCTTCTACTTTTATAACATAAAGCCAGCAATTATTTTCACAGAAATCTCCGTTTCTTATTAAATTACCTTATTTCCTCTCTCTATCTCAGGACAACAAACAATCGACAATGAATTTCTTTTGTTTAAAAAACAACCGAGTTGAGCTATTTTGCACTGGAGGGATATTTTTTCCCTAAGCGTCGCGCGTATTTCTACTCGGTGTTTTGGAAACATTTAAGCAACAATTTTCTCCAGAAATTCCCTTTATATGCTTTCATTAATATCCATTTTCTTCGGTTCTTAACCAAATGCTAAAATGATTCCAAGATATTTGAAACACTTCAGAAGCGGTAATAATGTATTTCACAACTTTCAGTAAAATAGTTTTTTAAACGCACACTTTACGTGATTAATTTTCCAACTGTAACATCGTGTACCCTCCCTCTCTAGGAGCTAAACGCTGATCTTTTTTCCCAAGGTTTACAAGTTTAATTCTTTAAGCTTTATAACATTTTATTCACTTAAACTTTTTTCTATTTTTTTTCAATTTCAATCAATTCCCAAATGTTTATGTCTGTGTTTTTTGTAGTCGCAGTCAATCTGGAAAATCGTGAAAACAGTTTCGACTACCTCGCCTTGAGCCCCGGGGGTAGGAGTGCGGAGAGCGAGACCAGCCCGGGGGGTGCCTCTCGCCAAAGTCCCCCTGACATAGGAGTTAACAAGGAGTCAAGTCAGAGACAAATTGCCTCTGAAAGAGAAGCAAATCGAATCATCAGAAATTCGGAAAACGAGACAGCGAAAGAAGGGGAAATGGCGGAACGATTAAACAGTAGTTTGGTTTCAAATGAGACGCAAAATACACCCAAGAGCGCGTTCAAGCCGATCGTCAGACCATGGTTAATTGAACCCGTGCGTGACAAGATACCCTACGGGAATCAACATGTACTCCATGCTAATAGCTGCCCAGATGATGTGAGGAGAGGGGGAATCAGCTCGGACAATTATCTACCCCTCCTGGGTAAAGACGTGTACCCCCCAAACTGCCTCTCCCATCTCGACGCTATTCGCTTGCTCCGTCAAAGAAGTTCGTTCTATCAAACATCAGCGCTCCATTCCAAACCCGGCTCATATACGAACATAAACGCTTGGCTGTCCTGTCTGAGAAATAACCGACCATATCCGTTAGTTAATCTCCCCCAAGGAGGGATAGGACCCAAAACGGACCAAATATACCCCACTGCCCATTCCCAACCCCCTCGATACAACTGTGAAGCTTGCAATAAAAGTTATTCCACATTCGGGGGTCTATCCAAGCATAAACAATTCCATTGTACGTCTCAGATTAAAAAGGACTTTAAGTGTAAATTTTGTGAAAAATCCTATTCATCGTTGGGTGCACTGAAGATGCATATCCGGACTCACACCCTGCCCTGCAAGTGTAAACTGTGCGGCAAGGCCTTCTCCCGACCCTGGCTGCTCCAGGGGCACATCAGGACCCACACCGGGGAGAAACCGTTCTCCTGTCCCCACTGTGGTCGGGCGTTCGCGGACCGATCCAACCTTAGGGCACATCTCCAGACCCACACGGACATCAAGAAGTATGCCTGTAAACTGTGCACAAAAACCTTCTCTCGAATGTCACTGCTGCTAAAACACGAGGAGGGGAGCTGTACAGGGATGATCAGGAGAACGTGAGGGGGGCATTGTAGATATGCTCTGGGGCATAGTATGGGTGCCCGGGGGTGGGGCAGTGGACTGACAACTATGAATTTGGATTATGTATGAACTGCAATTGCCTCATATCTCCGGAACAATTATGTACATCCTTGTTGTATATCATAAACATATAACCACTCTTGTTGAACCCGGAATGGGTTTGTGTTGTGGACACAGGCTATTGGTATAATGGACATGAACGAAATTGACAAATAAGATGCTGATGCTTTAGAAATAACTCCAGGACCAACTGATATGAATTTTCATTTTATGTTAGGTTTCATGTATATTCATTCAGCATCTCCGTGTCAGTTAAATTTTGTCAATATCAGTAGATGCTAACTGATGCTAGAGTACGTAAAATATAATTTGTAATTTTCAACGTATCACATGACGTATATAAGAATATGTATATAGATATGTAAATATAATTACCTTTGTTTCAGTGAACGGGACTCTATATAGACTTGTAGCTATTTACAAAGAATAAATAATTTATTTTCATTATATATTTTGTTTGATTTGTATTTTATTTTTTATTGGTTTAAACCTTTATAAGGGGTACAGCTTGGTGAATAAGCAACACAGTTCACGATTTCTTACATATAAAATATACTGTTGTAATTTGTTAGGACAGAAGTTCTGACATATCTAGCTATACTACTACTACTACTACTATTACTACTACTACTCGTTTCACATTCAAAGCGTGATGTGAGAGAACCTTTTGACCCATGGTAAAACCTTTAAAATTATTATGAAAATTGTTGAGTCAAGATTTACGTTTTTCGAATTGCCTTCACTGGATTGTCTGGTTCAGACTCGATTTGTTTACAAACACGTACAGCTGTAATACTGCTGAAACAAATATATACTCATGATATAGTCACAATTGTTCAATCGACTCTACTTTCAGCAGAGATTTCTTATGGATGTAAAAAGGGTTTTTTCGCTTCTACTTCAATGTTTTATTCCACGAAAACTTTTTCATGGAGGTTTTTTTACTGCCTATGGAATCTGTTTCGTCAGATATATCGAGACTGGTTATTCTCTGGCGTTGACTTATCATATTTTCTAAAATTTCAAAATTAGTAAATAATTAAACCAAGCCGATTGTCTATTGACATAAACAGAACGAATCCAAGGTGAAGAATGTATCGTGGTGCCAGTCGTGAATTTCGTAAAGCCAGCATTTTAAACTAATTATTTACTGCATTAACGAACATAACTGAAATGTATCGTCACTAGAAGATTTGGCATATAAGGTGGTTAAAAAACGATCTAATCGCATTAAAAATATCAATAACAATGCTTGTTTATCAGACCTGAACACTATGGCGCCCCGTCGAGGTATAATACTTATTTCTTCAAGGTAAACTTACATGTACATAAAATTTAAAGTGGGAATTGAAACGTCACATTCGTTGAACGCTCCCACTTTGATATTTCGTTTAGATGTGTAGAAACAATATTACACAGTCTCAAGGGATTTACCTTAACGGGACGGAGGAGGAAATAGGCATGGTTGATCCCGGACATATAAAGCACAACATAGAAACAACAAACACACAATGAGCGGAATACTAGTACCTGCCCCATGTAAACACGAGCAGGGACCGTCTAGCTCAGACATACAGAGGTGAGCGGAGGAAGTCTTTTGGAGGTCCCTGCCCAGTCACCAGGAGGTCCCTGCCCAGTCTCTAAGAGGTCCCTACATCCGGCTCGCTGCCGTCTGTGTAGTCGAAATACCAGATCACATGAAAATGTACATGAAGTTGGTCATTTCATACCGACCCACAAAGTTGACATGTAAATAATACAGATTTGCAATGTTAGGGAATAAAACGCTGTTGGATGGGGAGTAGGCAAAGAAGAAGGGCATGTGGCTCCTGTTCTTCACACTAGGCCATACTTGAACCCGTATAGCAATATTTCATAAATTAGAAAAATAATTAAATAAACATTGAATCGTTACGAAAGGTATTGTGGCTTTGTATTCTACACAAACTGAAGCAAAAAGGATCTGTTTATATTAATTGTTTTCTCATTTAGAAAAAATGATAAGGATTAGTTCTCTGTATCTATTGAGGCTACTCTTGCTTCATCCATGAATGGAATAGGGAAAGGATATTTACAGGACGGGTCTTCATGTCGAACACAAACCCAACCACCCGGTCCGGCGGCCTGCCACTGGTGACTGGAGGCGCTGGTTGATTCATAAATCTACCTGTCAACAATGTCGAAAGGTATATATCATTCAAAACATGTTTTCGTCTTTGGTTCCAATAGTTCCATGGGTCTGCAAACGTTATGTTCACTTAAACACTAAATGAAAACTTGAAACATCTCGAGAATGTATTTTTATTACACTGCGTTCCAGTGTTCCATCAACTGCTGTATCTATGCTAAACAGTTTACCGTTATCCTTTAACTAAGATTATAGTTTTATACCGCATGCGCTCATATCAGATGTTAATATGAAGGATAATTTGTAAAACATACGTTCCCATTACCAGGGACATTTATTGTAAAGACATAAAGTTCCTATCAGGATTAGTATTGTGTTCCCTTTTCAATAATGAATTCCAACTTTATATTTTCATTTTTATAAACTTTTTGGAAGGCTTTTTGACATGTAAAAGAATGTTTAACATGTAAAGATAATTGCTTCAGCCATGTTTCGGCTGAATAATGCTTAAACTGGGTGCAGATTAATAGTAATTTAAACGGTTCCACGTGAAATCCCCGATACTGAGTTCATGTTTAATACAATTGCCAGTGTGCTTTAATGTTTATTCATATCGTTTCGCTCAATACCAGTAAGATGAACACATATTTAAACTGCATAGGAAAATAAATTTCACCTCCATGTTTGAAGATGGCTGAAGCTGAAACAAACGTTATTCGATGTGATTTGATGCGGGTTTCCGGCAAAGTAACTTTTTGATAGCGTTTGTAACTTTTTCTCAAATCCAATCCTAAGTGAACACTTTCTCTCGCAGTTAAATATCCACATATGTGTTACTAATGAAACCCATGTACATGCCAGTATCCAAGTACATGCCAGTATCCAAGTACATGCCAGTATCCATGTACATGCCACCATAAGAAATATGTTCGATTTCCCTTAAAATTACAAACATGATTAACTCATGTTTGAATATTTACATACATCTGGAAATAAGATAAAATATTACAATATTTTAACTTAAAAATGTATCGCGTTAAACTCCCTCGTACTCCCAGATCGCCCACACTGCGAGACACAGCGCGATGGAGTCGCCCTCACTTTCACCTCTCCTTCTCAATCTAACCAAAACTAATGGCTTCTCCCATTTCCTTGAAAGATATATGACTTCTCGACGATTAAACCTGTTCTCGCTCGTTCCGGTAGTGTCAAGACAAGCGCGCTACACGTGTTTTTGCGTGATTGAGAAGGAGCAGCGCCATCTAGTAGCGACTTGAACCAGTCGACTGTCGAAAGTGCGACAGACAGTAACCCAGTCTAGAAACGACCGGCAATATGATCTGCATACATAGTATCACAAACGCATTATTCATGCTCGACCTGCCATCTCCTCTGTCTTGCGCTTGATAGGTGTTGCTCATGGGTATTATGTAACCTGTGATCTTTTTATAGCCTCTGTACAACGTTGGAATACCGTTACAATGGCGTTTAAGGCCGGAATGCGAGTGTGAAAGGGAGTGATATGGAATATGTTTCACGAACATGTAAGTGAACTGGTTTCAATGCCGTTTTGAAGAGTATTGCTGTTATATAACAGGATGTCAGCTGACAGTGGGAGGAAAGGCCGACGTGATGCGGGCCTCAGACATTTGAACCCTTGAACACGGGTATGCTCACAAACCTAGAAACGGGAATCGAAACCGTGAACATGAGATCCTGGCGTGCACTAGGGACGCAACTCTCCACGGTGATTGAGGTGACGCCTTCGACGACTGAATCACCCGTGCCCTTTCATAAACGTTTTACATAAATTCATGATATCTTTATGATATACAAATTTACACATTGAAGCAATAAAACCGCATAAAAATACAAAATATACTCATGCCAATAATGGTTGTCACCCCCTCCCCAACCCAACCATACACCCCACCCCACACCCCCTCTCCAATAAAAAAAAACTGAAGGGGGTGCCAACCATTATTGGCATGAGTATATAACACGGTTAGCCTGAAAATCCCCTTTTCCCATAGATTACGGTTTGGATAATTTAATATAGGACCCAGATGCTGAAACGCACTGTCTTAGTCTCAAAGCATGCCACACTATAACGTTTACTCGACCATTGAGTGAACACCGGTGTCACCACTGGTTTGAAGTGATCCATGTACATAACGATAAATCTCTGAAAGATTTATTTCGGGCGTGCAGATCAATATCTTCCCAGTCCACCATCATGAATGGTGCCTGCACGACACCCCAATAGCATACTGTTGATTAACTTGGGTATGGTTGCCCTTGATATTGCATGACATTGGCATAAAGAGCGGCTCCACGCAGGGCCACACTGGGGAATCCCCAGAGTACCCTCTACTCCCGGTATCATCCACTGACGCCCTATTGGGGACCTGTCAGAGTACCACACAGAGTACCCATGTGGGAATCAAACTCGGGTCTTCTGCGTGACGAGCGAACGCTTTAACCACTAAGCTACCCCACCGCCCCTTCGAATGATAATTATATGTAAGGATCATGAAGTAATAATAATCATCTGACGAAATCAGTGTTAAGATAATGTATTAATAGGCTGCCTCGGCGCAGAGACTGGATTATGACTCAATGATAAATATTTGTAAACACTTATATATGGGCAACTCTATATATGGGCACTGTCTTACGTTCAGGATGTATTTAGTTTTATGGACCATCTATGAGTATTCTAATCACGTACACACTGAATGAAAACCATAATATCCAAACAACTCAAATGAAATTTACACCCACTAACAAGTGAAAAGATGACAAACACGGTTTATTTATGATCCCGAAATGTTCGGAGAGTTTGTTTAGGACGTGATTCTCGTGAGATCTCGCGTATTGTTCATCCTACTTCGTCACGTTTCACTGACAACGTGACATTTAAACCGTCAGCCCAACAACTGACGTAGATCCCATCCTTCATAATGTTATAACCCGTGTGAAAGACGAACCAGCCACCTGATGAATGGATTTTCATTGAAATGAATTATTGCTATCTGTTCTACCAAAATACCAAATTGATTAAAAACGAAATGAGCGTGGAAGGCGACGACTTAAAGAATGCCAACCATGGCCAGTTTCAGTCATGCCTGACGTCATCGAGTCCAACTGAAACCAAAGCGAGGCTTCAATTATTGAGATCGAGACTCAGATTTCTTAAAATGAGTTTATTTTACAAAGCGCCATATTTGGTTTCGTTTTTGAAACGCGCAATGTGTATGGTTGACCAGTGATTGTCTCGTAAATAATTTAAAACTAAGATTCAATCTGAAGTGAG